AAGGCAAGTAAGGACCCCGCTCGAACGGAACGAAACGTCCTGGCACGCGTTAAAGAAAGGCGTACGTACCGAGATTGATCCAAACACCACCCGGTGCAAGGATGCGGTGGATGGCGCGAAGGTAATTCACGATGTTCTTGGCCTGGGAACAAGGACTGAATGAGATCGTGATTTGGGACAGGTCGGAGCGAGCACTTACGGTATCGATGAAGAAACAGGTAAGCACGGCGTCCCATTGTCCGGCGTGCGGTTCGCTCTCCTCCGTGTCTTCCGTGCCATATATCTCTTCAAAGTCGCCTAGCGTGGAGCTGCAGCAAGACAGGATGCAAACGAAAGCAAGGCAAGCGCGTACCAGCGACCAAGGAAAAGTCGGATCCGGGTGGTAAATCGGACGGGAGGACGTCGGGGATCTTCACCGGTCGAAGCAGTGCGTCTTTACAAGGGATATTCGACAGCGAGTGGATGTACGGGTATATGGTGTGTTCCCCGATCGATTCGGTCCTTGGTCATCGGTTAGGTGTATTCGGTCGTATCAAGCTCGGGAGCGTACTTGTTGAGGATGAGGTACGAGGAGAGGAGCATGTAATGAGAGAATTCATTTCCTTGACAAGCGAAGCCTGGTGGTCGGTGTTAGTATCGTGCCTCGAGCGTGGACGTTGGATGTGTTCAACCGAGCTTCGCTACGTCATATGCCAGTCTTCCCAGACCTGCTCCAGGGACAAGAACTCGGATCGTTTGCCTAGGGCCCCCGAGTCAACGACCGAGCCAGTCCCACCAGAAATTCAGACGCAACCTATCTTGGCCCTCGAAAAATTCCTCGAGAGCCCTTTTCATCGGCTCGTAACACAAATCACGCTCGGCTTTCCCCTAGTGACGTATCGATGACGGACGGCGGACAGACGTCGAAACACGAAAACACGCACATCTTCACTCCAATCACGAACGAACTGCTTGAGCGTGCTCCTCAACTTGTCCATGTCAAAGTCCGTGGCCTTGTACTTCGCCCGTCCCTGTCCATGCTGTTTTCTGGGATCCGTCGTCTTCGCATCATCGGGACGGCCGTGCGAGTGGCTATACGCACGCGATTCACCGTCATCTGAAAGGACGCCAACAATAAGAGAGCCCGGAAACAATCTACACTCCGAATCGCCCTACCTCGCCCATGGAGTCCCAGTGACTGTCGTGAAGGACGCTCCGAACCCTCCAGCGTCACGTCCTTCTCCATCACCCCGTCCTCTTCCGTGACCATACCATGTCCAAATATCTCCGGATTCGCGACGATTTTATGGAAGAAGTCGGCGTTGGCGAAGATGGCCGCGTCGATCTCTTGGAGTTTGCGTCTGTAGCCTATCGAGTCTAATAACGCCTTGTCTGCGTGTGGGAGTGTATACAGGTCTTTTCGGCGACGATTGTTGGCGGTCAACTGTGAGCAATGGTGTGCAAGGAGACGGTCCAGGGGTCAGTGCGTCACGGCTCCTGAACGAGATGCGATTTACCGAGTACTGAACGTATTGTTGAAATGTGGCGACGACGTTTTCAAAGTGAACCTGTTCTTCTGCGATGTCTTCTTCCGAGAATTGGGGCGACATCGTATGGCCAAGGCGTTGATGGACTTTGGAGGTGATCCACACGTGGGTTTGTTTGTTTCTAAAGCCGTTGCCAAACAAACATCCGATTTAGCCAACCACATCTTCCTCACATACCTCCACTACACCACCATGGTACGTCCATATCCTTTTTCAAGAAATCAAGACACTAAATGACATGTTCTAGGCACGTAATGAAGAAAAGGCGCAGTCTATGCTCTATCGCTTTCGCGAAGCCCAAGCGGCAGAGCTTGGCCTCGGTACTCGCGGTGACAGACGGCCCAAGATGGCCAGCGCATGCAAAAGCTTGCGTGAATGCGAACGCTGGCGAGGAGAGATCCTTCGTGAGATCAGCAGAAAGGTGTCCAAGATCCAGGATGGTGCGTCCTCGTTCCAATGCGCGTTCTCACTCGTAATGAACAACCTCCGCTCGCTCGACGTTGTTGCTGTTCTGTTCTGTTCGACTCACGTCGTTGCAGCCGGTTTGACCGACTACGAGGTGCGAGATCTAAATGACGAGATCAACAAGCTGTTGCGCGAAAAACGACATTGGGAGAACCAAATCATCACACTTGGGGGTGCGAACTACAGACGGAACGTCGCCATGCTCGACGATGACGGAAAGGAAGTACCTGGTACTAAAGGATACAAGTTCGTCCCTCCCCTCCCCTCCCCTCCCCTCTCCCCACTCACCCGCTCGTGATCGATTAGGTACTTTGGTCGCGCCAAAGACCTCCCCGGCGTCCGCGAACTCTTCCAAAGTCGGAAAAAGGAGGAAGAAGAAGAAAATCAAGCCTTGGCCTATTACAAAAAGTTTATGCACCAAGGACCAGCTTACTTTGGCGATCTGGACGAGACACAGTCAGGGAACGAGTTGATCGAGTATGAGAGGGAGGCAGAGGAGGCAGAGTGGCGGGAGGCACAGCAACGTATTCGCGAGCTGCTCGAGATCCCGGAGGGCGATTCCATGCCCGACCTTCCACTTGGCCCCGGACAAGCTACGGCTGTTACTCCGTCCGATTCGTCGCCCGCCAATGCTTCATCGACCAATAGTACAAAGCGGAAGGCAGATGGTGACGTTAACATGGCAAACGAGGATGACCCTCCACCCGAAAACGCCAAACGATCAAAGTCAGAGTTGGCCCAACAACCGGCCATACCAACCCCTGCACCCAACTCGATGCAAGCCCACGCACAGCTGGCAGCGTCATACATCTCGTTCCTCTCACCAGAGGACCTTCTGCCACCAAAAATGCCGACACGAGAGGAGCTGGAAGGCGTACTACTCAAACTACAAAAGGAGGCATTGGTGAACGAATATTTCGGGGACACGCAGCTGTAATTTATACATTTGTAGTATCTCTATCTCACTGCCCGCAAGCGTGAACTCGACGACTTCGTTCGCATTACTGTGTGTGCTATGGTGGGGTGAGACAAAATAGTGTTTCCATATCAGCTCAGGTCTCCCATGGCCATGGGAGAGTCGAGTAGGTTCTGTGTTTGATCCCGTCTTGACTTTGGGCCCCTGACGACCAAGTCTGCTTGTTGTCTGTACGCACGAAATGAACCAAGTAATAAATCATGACACCATGCTCAAACTCACAGTCGCATTCGCAAAAGCAGTTTGCGATTCGTGCTCTGGATATCCAACGCCGTCTTCATGGCGTGCTCAAACAGCTCCGCGCGATGGTCCGTCTTCTTTGCCTTTAGGATCTATAAAAGATAAGGGGAGTGAATAAATTATGCAGGCTGGATTCGTACTGTGGTCGAGAATCCCTACCTTATTCTGGCTGTCCACGCGCCCGTTAATTTTACCGCTCTGGATGAGTGCGACGACTTCCTGTTCGACCTCCTCGATGCTCCAACCAAATGCCGATGCCATGCGGTCGAGACGGATCGTCTCGAATGGCTGGAAGTAAAGTACGACGGCCGTGTGCCTCAAATGTTGAGTGAGGTCGTTCACATGGACTCCAAGGTGCATGTCTATATAATGCCTCGTCTATTCCAAACGCCACGATATGTCAGTGCGGAAAGTCTTTTTATTTATCATTTTTAGAAAGGAAGACCTCACCGAATACCTGGCGAGGATCTCCAGCGTAGTTCTGAAATCACTCGACATGTAAGCTTGTATGACGTCACGAATGTATGGTTCTTGCTCAATGTATGCAGAGAATACAGGATTCTGGAGGAGCTGCGCCTTGATAGCAGAGCGAGACAGGCTTGCAAGCGCACAGAGCGTGCCGTAGATGGCAATATCACCTGGAGCAACGAGCTGTATGTCGAGAACGTCAGTCATCATGTAGACTACCCTGACTGCAGTCCCCACCTTGCCAACCCAATCGCCGAGTTGATCCGGAGGGCCAAGTCGCAAGAACAACGTGGCCGCCTTTTCGTAATTGCCCTGTCCGAGATGCGACAGAGCCATGGCGAAATCGAGCTTGGATTGCACCTGCTCGCGCTGGGGGCTCGGCTTCTTGGACGTAGGTTGGGACGAGGCAGAAGTCGGGCCGCTCTCTGCACTAGCGGTTGCTGCAGCCGCACTTTCCAAGGCCGCATCTGCCTTGTAAATATACGACGATATGTGTGTATAATTGCGTTGTTCGATCACGAGCTGCAAACACGATCGATCATCTCTGCGAAGCCCGAATGTTCCCGACATACCTCCAAAACGGCAAGACACATGTCTAGTACGTGCTGGCTCGCCGAACAAAATTCGCGCGATTTCGTCAAATGCTTCAACGCCGAGGCGAAATCGCCAGTGGCACGATGATGCTTCTCCAAGATCTCGATGTGCCATCTGGACCGTCAGTCAAATGACCATTGCGCTTGCAAAGGCGTCTCACGCACCCGAATGCTCTCCTTGATCATGTTATTCGTGTACGTCTTGAGCTCGACCTCCAACTTCGTGCGTTCGGCTGCGTTCTTCTTGGTTACCTCCTCGACCCAGGTAGAATCCACGACCACGACGTCCGCAGCAGGTGGTAGCCCCTGGCCCTCGGGCAACGCTGCGGCGCCCGCATACGCCCCCAAGGCCGCATGAACGAGCGACGGATCGCGGAGACGGTACAGGTGGTTGAACGCGAGTCTCAGCGCCTGTGGGGCAATGGCGGGGCAGGCGACAGTGATGGTGAGGAGTCTATCTACGGCGGTCCGACCTGTGTACAGTCTGTGAGCGTGACTAGGAAGGGGAGTGATGTACGTGCCTGTGTAGCTTGCAATGTAGGCGTCGAGATCAAAGGGATGTGCATCGTCGACGGGACGGGCTTGTCTTCGTCTGGGCGTGTATTGGTTCGCAATTTCAGAATCGATCGGGTCAACGTCCATCATGCTGGTGACGACACAAAGGATTGATGCACCGTTAGGAGTGTCGGCGTTCAATTTTGTAATCACTTGCCAAACCCAGTACCTTGCTGCGGGCACTTGGCACAGTTGGTAGCGCGCACGCTTCGCATTGTGGATTGCGTGAGGTCGTGGGTTCAACTCCCACAGTGTCCATAAATTTTAGTTGGTGCCTTATTCTTTTTCTTCCAAGTTCAGCTAGCGCTAAGTAGTCGACTGAATCTATTATGCCAAGAATGCAAGGCAGTCTGTGTAACTACTCGAAACGTTTCCATGCATGCTTCTCATACTCCTTTGGCTTCGCTTTGCGCTTCTTCGGCCTGCAAATTTGCCTCTTAGCGTGGACTCACAGATAAAGAGCAGAGACTTACAGTACAGGAACGCGTGGCTCGATCAATGCGCGTTGTTGAAGACTTGCAAAGCGATCGCGAAACAAGTTTCCTTCAGGCTATTGAACGCAGCGTCAAAAAAAAAGAAATGTATCATTACCAGTCGCTGACCTTGAGATTCCTGAGGTTCTCGCTCAGATCCTCCCCGACCTGCACCTCGATATCGTTTTCAGGGACTCGGTGCTTTCCCAGTCGTTGGCCAGCGAGGCCTTTTTGTAGCTTCAGCCGAAGCGCAAGCTGTCGTGCAAGCCGAGCTAGATGCTGGGCATCCGCAGCCTTGGAGAGTTCCGAACGGAGCGTCTTGACCTGATTGACCGAGTTAAACAAGCGTTTTCGAAGGGCTTTCTCGGCCAATGCATGTTTCTGTGATCATATGCTGTCAGTCACCGTCACCATTCATGGGGGTTCCTGAGGCGAACCTCTGCCTTCTGCTTCGCCATGCGAGTACGCTGTTGTTTGGTTTTCTTCGCAGGTAGTCTTTTGGGTACTACGGCAGGTGTATTGACGATCGTCTCCTTGTCGTCCTTGATCTCGTCAATGACCATCCCAGTAGGGACACCTTCGGTGACAGCGTTTGCAGCAAACGCGCGTGCTTGCTCGATTTTCTTCCGAGATTCCAGAAGACGATCAGCTTCTTCTTGTCTCCGTTTCTCGACTTTGTAGGCCTCCATAAGGAGCTCTTCGTGTGCCTGCACTGGCGGATTGTAAGAGGCGCCCGGATGAGGCACAGACACCGCAGGCACGTCGATTACATCTCGCGGGTGGTCAACATCGGGTTTCTGTTATCACATACATGAGCCACGTTCATGACCCGATCATCCACTATGGATACCTCACCTTGATCGTGCGCTTTCGAACCGCCTCTAGCCCATCTGGCACAATCTCTTCGACAGCCGGTGCATCCCACAGATCGTGCCCTCCACTATATTTGACGGCATCCGAGACGTCGATGGCAGCACTCCCTGCGCCGAATTCGGTTGGATCCATGATGGCGTTGAACGGCCCTTTTCGTGGACGCTTCGCAATGCGTAATAGTCTCTCCTTGTCTGCGCGGGAAATTTTCGCTCCAGACGGTCTCGTGGACGCGCGATACGACAGCTGGCACGGCGGACCGTTGCGAGAGGATCTTCGTGGATGTCAGTTGCCGTTTCGAGTATCGAGGCAACGATTTTCGAACTGGAGCCAACAATCGGACGGTTGGGATGGGAATGGACGCGAGAACGTATGACGACCGTACCTTGTTCGTCGCCCTTGGTATCTACTATGAACAGCTGGTCGTCCGTCTGTTTTTGTAAAATCGAGCTGCGCGTCGGCACGGTGCATCAGCGTTGGAGGAGCATGCTACAGTTTCTCTCACCCGACGACCCGTTCTTCTGCTCGAAGGCTCTCGAGCCCTTCCTCGACAGGCTGGATATCGATATTCTTTCTCCATGCTCGCTTTCCTTTGCGACTCGACTGTAAGAGCTGGGAAGGAGCGCCAAGCTTGGACTTGGCTAGTTTTGTGGATATCTTTGATGAGGAGTTGGGGGACCTTGCTCGCATAGTCGGACTCATATCAGCTCAAGCCAACCACAACTTTTTTGCCTGACGTGCATGATTGCTGTGTTACGTAATTATCATCATCTTTATCACTGATTTACGCCTACGCACCCCCGCTGTCTGTGTGAGGGGCGACATACAGTCGCAAAGTCAACCAATCTTGTAACAGGAAAGTGAGAGTTTTTTCTTGGACAAACTATGGGATATTTTCAGGCGACGGTGACTAGGTGTTCGGCGACTACGCCGCTCGCTTCTACTCAATGTTCGCTGACCGCATGCTTACAGTCCTCGCCATTCTAAAAATACACGTTCATCACTACCACGCTGCTCGCGACACAGGTACAGCGGACCAAACACTCCTGCATCACCCAGCGCATACATGCTCAACAGACGCTCGACCTGCGAATGCCTCAGCGTTGAAGCCCCGAGGTCGTTCAAGTGGCACACTCCATCTTTTCCACACCCGAACAACTCCGTTCCAGTCGCAATCCCAACCCTAGAGTCAGCGAGAGCGTGGTGAGCGTGGTCGGGGGACGTTTGATACGGAGGGTGCGTACGCACAGCGTAAGTTCCTCCGTGCTTCTTCGCTGATGATGATAGAGGCTTGGCCATTGTGCCATCTTTGTGCTGGCATAGGATTTTGATCTTTGTTGAGAATTTTGATGGGCTCGCATTGGGCTCGATCACGCAATTCAGTGTATTCGGGGTTAGAGCTGATCATTTATTCACAGGAATCCATGAAGACGCTATCCCAGTCCCGATCGGGGTGAACACGGTATCGAAAGGCGGTCTGTGGCCATGAGCGCAGGTGTTCGATTCCTCACCCCGACTGTACGGTAGCAGAAGGGTCAGAGGAGGGAATGCAATATATGATATGCATGTCCATTCCTCGGTACCAGCAAAGAGGAAGGGACTAACGCAGAGAGGAACCCATGAATTCTGCCACTCACGCCACGACGGGGTTTTTGATGGTCATGGTTCATATTACCGCTAATAGAAGCAACGGTGTTCCACAGCATCACTTCCGCGGCTCCTCCAAGCATGAGGTAGCTGTAAATGAGGTGGGTCCCATTTCGTTGGCTATGAAACAATGCTGATTTCCATAAGCACTCCGCGGAAATAATATCTCGATCTTTGGGTTGAGGTCGGCATAAATAATTGATCGGCATTGGATATGTATCCTCAGGCAGAATAGTCCCGCTCGTAAGCCATGGGATTGAGTGCGATTGTTCAAGTAGCGCTGATTATGGTTGACGCTCAAGTGAACGATATGGTCCAATGCGTAGGAGTGCCACGAAATGAAAGAATGCCAAAAGACTGTATGCTTACGGTGCTTCCGACGGGAAGGCGATACATCACGTTCCGGAATGAAACCCTTTGTGCTGCATCGGGTACTTACACTCAAATTTCGTCATCTGTCCGTCAACGAAGCTGCTTCACATTGCCTTCCGCCGCACTGTCCCTTCAAATTCGAGTCCCGTACCGTGAAATGTTGGAAGACCGTTCATCATTCCCCCATCCAAACAAGTTGCGAAACAAATAGTTAATTACCGGGTTGAGGATATAACCCCACAAGAACTTCAACTGCGACCTGCCACCCTGACCCTCGACCATTGGACAGTTAAACATCACCATTCATCTCTTCTGGTGCACTTAGCATGTCTTCTGACTTGCAGTCTGCTTTGGAGCTTCTCCGGAAGAATGACTATGGATCCTGTATGGTTGTTCATGCCTTTGATATGATCAATCTTATAACTCAGCTCAAACATAGTTGCTATTGTCACTGCTGTCCTGTATGATTATGGTGAGTGATGCTTTGTGCTGCAAATTGTACACAGTTGTCTCAAAATCAATTAACCATTGCAACTAACCACCAGCCCTCACCTTCTCAAGTGAGGTATGTTATTCTGCTCTCCACATCTTACACTACTTGTTGACTGACAACATTTGCAGGTGCACTATGTTTGGGTAAGGAAGCAACAAGTGAAGCAAGATTCAAGTCTCTTACAGTACCACAGCATAGATCTTGGACCTAGTCACAATGGGTGCGAGGCAAGACGAGCAGCTGGGAGATTCAACGAGAGAATGAAGAAACTTCCAAGCGGTGCATGGTGTACATGCGTGCAGTCAGAGTTGGAGTGAGTAATAAAAAACAAAGGGTACTAGTGCGTGTAGCTAAGTCGGTGAGCGTGAGTCGTATACCTACAATCTGGTACATTCGTTACTCCCACTTGATGAGTGCCTAATGTTCTCCCACTCCAAGGGCATTGCAGAACTTCTCGAATGTCTCGTGGGGGAGTTGTTTCATGAAGATGTTGGTGAGCATGTCTTTCGTAGACACAAAGCGTAAATCTATCTCCTTGTTTGCAACGCGTTCGCAAATGAAATGATGTTGGATGGTGATGTGCTTCGTGCGGGTGTGGTTAACGGGGTTATGTGTGAGCACAATGCATCCTTGATTATCAGCATGAATCGTTGTCGCCGAGACCTGTTTGAAATCCATATCTTCAAGTAGTATTCGAAGCCAGATGGCTTCTTTCGTCATGTTTGATGCAACCATGTGTTGAACGAACTCGTATTACACGGTAGTAGTTCATTTATAGTAGTTAGTTCACACGCACCTCATGTAGCGTATATAGCTTTCGGACTCAGTCATCTGAGTTCCAATTGACTCTTGACCAGCAACCGCTATCATCTCTGAGTTACTACACACAGCAGGTAAGCCAAGTAACTGCGTACTGCATGCTTCCAACAGGTTATGAGCCCTGGTGATCGTGCTGTGCGACTTGCTCGCCACCATCACTTGGTTTTTCCTGCTCCCGCCCTCAGATGCGCTATGCGCTCTCCGGTGCGGTAAGTCGCGTTCTAATGCGTTTTTACGCTTGAACACATGCGACACGTCGCGTCCTATGCGTTTTTACGCTTGGACATATGCGACCAGATCCTTGGACATATGGGGAGACTATGTCTCACCGGTCCATGGACTCTGAGAGCGTAATGAGCGTAAACTACGCCCCTTCCTCCTCTTCTCATTATCTCAGCTGGAAGTTAACTGACGCCTCTTTGTCCCAGACCACCCATTCTCACTATGTCCTCCAAGATCGACACTTCCAACGCCTCTAAGGTCCCCGACCTCAACGGTTCCAACTACCTCCGTTGGTGCCAAACTATGCAGGCTTACCTGCGTACCCTCGACGCCTTCTGGGCCATCACTACGGATTGCCCCGA